GGCGAGGTCTGCGAGCCCATGGCGAGGTTGCAGAGAAGGACGACCTGATCCACTGCCACACCTGGCTGGATGTGACGGAGGATGCAGGAGCCCGAAGCGGGCAGCGGAGACAACCTGAAGCAGGGAGGAGGCTGAAACCTTCCCCGCTCCTGGCCGAGGGGAGCCGAGTGCCCGGCCCTTGCCACACACGGCCACAAGCAACACCCTGAGCGACCACGCAGGTGGGTGCAGCTTGTGTGGACATGGCACAAGCCGTCTGCTTTACCAGCAGGATGAAGCCCTGTGGCCACGGGGATGGGAGTCAGCAGGGACCCTTCCCTGGCACGGCCCGAAACGGCCGGCCGCAGGGGAGCAGGGGGAGCCCGGGCTGTGCCACCTCTGCGTGAGCATGGGCAAGGGCTTGCGGGTCTGCACCGCAGGGCAGGTCCCGGCTTCACCAGGCCGTGCCCAGCGGGTCACCGCAGCTGTACCCCAGCCCAAATGCCCCCAGCCTGGTAACAGAGTAAGTGAAGGGAGAGACCTGTTCAAAGAGCACCTTGTTCTGTTCCGGGAGGGTTTCAGCTCCTTCTTCTCTTCCTCGGAGTTATCTGCCACCGATGTGTTCTCTTCGTCCTCCTTCTCTTCCCTCTTTATTTCGCTGGTGCCCGAGGAGACGCTGCTTCGCCCCAGCCCCCCTGACAAGCCTGCTGAGGAAGCAGAACCACACATGGAGGATGGAGGGACCTGACCTACACGGAGGGCTGGGGGAGTCCCCAGGCCCTGCTCCTGCTGCGCTGCATCCCGGACTCATCCTGCATCACCCATCTGCAGCAAGAGGAGCTGGAGGGGTGCCAGCTCTGCCCTGCCACCGCTGCCCGTTCTTCTCCCCACCACCTCCCAGGCCCTCTGGAGTCAGTGTCCAACCTCCGCCAGCACAGCAGGGCCTGGGGGCTCTGTGAACCCACAGCTGGCAAGAGGGACAGGAACATGTAGCCTGGGAAAGGCTCAAGGCACAAACTGCCCTGCAGATGCTGCGAGGAATGGCCTTGCGAGAGCACCCATCTCCTCCAGGAGATGCACAGGGCTGGACCTAACGGGTGACCCGAATCTCGCCCGTGGCAGGCGAGCCCCAAGCGCATGCGCAGAGCTGCCTTACCGCTGTACGTGTCCTGCGGTCTGCTGAGGTCGGGGAGTGAGCTGGGCTGTGACGGAAGCGTGACATGGTTGTGGAGCATGCTGGGGTTGCTGGACAACCCGTCTTCGGGGTGACCTCCCCCCACCTATGGCAGAACGAGCAGAGTAAGCCTTGAGAGGGGCAAGTGTCCCAGCCAGCGGGCACGGGCACCGCAAGCGCAGCTGCAGGGCTCTGCACACCAGGCTGCGGCGCAGCTCTGTGCCCTCCTTGCACACTCCCACCACCCAGAGCGTGGGCATGCAGGAAGGAAGAGCCAACCTTCCCTCTGGGGACCGTGGCGGTGGCACTGCAGAAAGCAGCTCCGTGCCCTGCACATAGGCTGGACCCAGCAAAAAGCCCCCATCAGTGCTGTCTCCTCCTGCCGTGAAAAAGCCTCTCTCTGCCTGGGTGCAAGGCTGGCACACCGGAGAGGACACCCTGCCTGGACTGCTCGTGTCCTGTCTCCATCAAGTACTAACGTTTCTGCCACCTCCCCAGTGCCACCAGAGCAGGAGACATCATCCCATGAGCAGCATGAACCTCACCCTGCAGGGCCTGCACACCAAGGGCGAGGGTCAGGCAGCACTTCTGAGCCTGCAGCCCCCGACCTGCCCCATGCCAGGGCCAAGGACCAGCAGGGCAGAGCCAGCCCTGCTGCAAACACTCTTGTTTCTGCAGCTGGCAGCAGTTTGCAACAGAGGACACACAGATGATTCACCACTTAGCAGCAGAGTCTGGGGAGCTCAGCAGGGAAGCATGTCTGATGCTCTCCAGAGGCTGGAGACATGTCACCGTTTGCTGCTGCAGGCAACCAGCTCTGCCAACAACGTGCTCCTGTGCTCACCAGTCTCTGGACAAGGGGGGACCCTGGTGACCCAGCACTGGCCCCACGTGCTCAGGGCACCCAGGACCTGTCGTGCTCCCTGGACTCCGAATGAGCCATCATCAGCGCTCCCCACGTGCACGGAAGGACGCAGTGCCTGCCCAAATGGTTCGGAGCAGAGCAGTCCTGGTGACACCTGGCTCTCTATACTTGTGGTCCTGCCCTGCACCAGATCCCTTTCCTCATCCCTGTATCCCCAAGGACAGCCTGAAGCTGTTTTGAGGGATTTCCATCCATGCTGCAGGGAAAGAAGAGCTTTCACCATCTCTGCCTGCCTCGAGAAGGGGCATGAGCAAACTGCATGCGGGGCTTGTGCCCAAGAGCCACCACTGTGCTGAGCATGGATTCACTCCCTGGCACGAGCACTGGCAGCCACTGCACTTCTGTGCACGTCACCCGTTCAGAGCTGTTACAGCTGATGGAAGCTGGACCACACTGAGCTATTCCCACACCAAAGCCAATGTCACTCGGGATGGAGGACCCCGTGTCGGGGGTCTCCGCCACGTCCCCACCAGCTGCCACGATGCTTCCGCACTTACCAGACTCGGGTGCCTGTTCCCCAGGGACATGACGGAGGCGGGGAAGGCCTGGCCCAGGCTGCCCACGGTGGCACTGTGAGCCGGCGCCGAGCCCAGGAGCCCGTGCATGTCCCCGTGGTTGCTCGACATGGCAGCTGTCTGGCCCACGGCGTGATTCCTCAGCACGTGGATGGCTTCATCCAACCTGTCTTCCATTTTGTTTTGCTTGAAGGACAGGACAGAGAAATAAGTCTGGGTCAATGCCTGTAAAGCCAGCAGCCCACCAGCAGCTAAAGAACGGCTCGTGGCAATC